GGAAAATCACACACTAAGATATCGATCAGGGGGGCTCCTTGGAAAATCACACACTAAGATAGCACGGTAAAAGGGGGGGGCTCCTGAAGCACTGGGTAAGCAGCAAGCTAACCTGAGCACCTTTGTATGATGCTTTTATTTGGCTAATACAGCCCCCCCCCAATTCTGAAACAATATCGATCTTCAGTCACTATCTGTCCACAAGCCGATTGTTTCCTCTGCTCCTTTTAAAAGCTCAAGCGCAGTGATTCATCTGCACATTATGCTCATTCAGCACAGCCTTCTGTCTGAGATTACAGTCTTATATGACTTTACTGAGACGGTTCGCTGAATCACCTACTCCACATTAAGGCTGGGCAATATGGCAAAATATTTTATTGTGATAAAATGGGCTGAAAATGTGTCATGAAATGGTGGGGACATGTGGACACCATTGCCGTGCCCTTGGTGTGCAGCCCACACCGTGGGCGTGATGTGGGCGGGACACCAAGGACCCCATTGCCGTATAACCGGGACCCACATTGGGCCCACAGTGTATGGAGGGTATAATCTGTGATAGCAGTCTAGGCCCTGACACAACCCAAGTGTTACGGGTTTATAGAGAGACCACACTGAACACACAATATATTACACTTTCAGTATTTTGCACATTCAGTAAGTATTAAGTAAATATGGTCTTCAGATCAGGAAATATATAAGTAAATAAGTATTACATTTTCACTCAGATAATCTGAGGCCAAGTTCAAACAGCAAGGTTTTATTTAATGTAATATAATACAATGACAATTAAAAAATCAAAAATTACATGTAAAGAACTGAAACACAAATCATTAATATTAATACACAAATGCAGTAAACACACATAAAAATACCAATTAATAATTAAAGCACTTTTCTCTTATTCAGCCTCCCACTGTCTCTGTCTCCTGCATTTCTGAGCCTTATTTTTATGGCTTTTTATTTTTATGTTGCATCACATGGCTGCTCTTTGTCACCCTTAAAGGGAAAAAGGTGCTTATTTATATAAAAAGCTGGTTCTGGAGAGACCAAACCATAGTCATATCGTATCAGGTCCTCTGGTCCAAGTCTTGCCGGTGTGTCTTCATCACTGAGCTGACAGTCACTGGGGAGGATGCCATCGATGAGGCAAACGAAAGGAGAAAACTGCTGTATGCAAACCTGGCAGCTGAGGCAGAGGAGCGGGCATGAATGTGAAGGTGCAAACCTGGCAGCTGAGGTAGAGGAGCTGGGCAGGAATGTGAAGGTGCGTCCAGTGGGCTGCAGGGGCTTTGCAGCAGCTCCTCTACAAGGCTACTGGAGGAAGTGGGCACCAGAGGGCAGGCCGGCGGAAGGCAGTTAAGGAACTGGCCAGGGTCACCGAAAGCAGCACTGATTGGCTGTGGCTGAAGCGAAAGGAGTCAGAATAGGCTGCCAAATGACCACTTAGTCAGCATGTGACAGACACCCAGGCCTGAACAGGCTATGGGGGCCTGCCTTGTTATAAAAGGCCGAAACACCCAATGAGGCCCAGGGTACGCAGCTGAGGATGTGTCCTATTGATGGGAAGGTCATCATCAAAGTCACCCCGTCAAAGAAGGCATCTCTAACCCACTCAAGTGCTGTGCTGAATTTGTCAGGGATTGTAA